TAAATTAAAAAATGCGCGGTGGAACTCTCCTGTGAATGCACAAACATAGGAAAACAGTTCTTATTAGGAATGATAATAATATAAACGCAAATCTAACAAACATTTTGACTTGTTGGTGACTTTTTGGTGACTCTAAATATTAGAATTTATTCTCAAACCCTATTGAAGACAAATCAAAGCTAACAGGATAATTACTGCTAACGAGATGTACATTAAATCGATACATATATGAGTAAATTGGTGGACCCTATATTGTTTATGATCAGGAATATTTTATCAATATTATTACTTACTTTGGTCTATAAAGCTGAGTTAGAGATTGTTCAATGTGCTTTTTGTAATGTACGAGAATCTGACCCAAGATTCAACCAAGACAGGTCGGTGACTTTAACTAGCTGTATTAAAGGAAAGAACAGGGGAAAAGTTTAATGTGCAGGGCACACTGCTGTGCTCAACTGAGAGCCATTGAAGTCCGCTTGCAGACAGAGTTTGCTGGGGCAAGAGCCCGTTGGCGGCCGTCAGGTAGACGGAAGTTTCCAGTGGGGCACTAGGGACGTAATTTAGAGGGGTCCAGGTTCAGCAACAGTATGACCAATCCAGCAGCAGTACAGAAAGGGAGAACCAAGAGGGAAGGTCCAGGTCCAGTCCAGGTTCATAATCTATTAGGTTTCCGAGATCCACAAAGGTTAGCCAAAATCCAGTACTCACAGACAGAGGGGGGTCAGGCTTACAGGAAAAACAGGGTCCAAAATCCAGAGACAGAGCCAATCAGGTTTCCAGGCAGGCAGACAGAGGCAAAAACAGGGACTAGCAGGCTCGGTAACAGAAAGCAGATCAGGTCGGGTAACAGACAGGTTTGCAAACAGAATAGCTGGAAGGTTCTCACCGGTAGGTTTGAGTTCATCTGGCACTGGTAGCTGATCTGAACGGGGCTTATAAGCAGGTGGAAACAGGTGAAACCAATTTAGAGCTGATTGCAGGTTAGGTGGAGCTGAGCAGGAGTGAAGAGTGGACAGATAGACCAGACCCAGTGCCACGATTAATACAGCTTTTATTTGATCTGGGCTTGACTATTGTAGAAGCCTTTTTATATGTAAAAGAAAGATCTTAACTGTCTGAATACAGTTAAAAATACTGCTGCAAGGCATTAAACTAATACAAGAAAAAGACAACACCTCATTACAGTTTTAATCTCTTTAAGTCCGTCCGTATCACATTTTAAGAGTTCATTTGAAAGTGTTTGTCTTTATTTTTACTGCTGCAGTTCAACCCCTAATTGTATTTGCTCTTTCAGCTTCTGACATGGTAACGGACATGGAGCTCGTCTGCATGGCTGTCTTTCCTGGATAGGTCCACCTGTGGTGCTAGTTAACAGTTACCTTTTGCATATCTGTTTATTTTAGTATATCTGCTTTGATCTCCTGGAACCCCAATTGGGTTCAGCTGAAGGCCACTCACTCTGAGCCTGCTTCTGCTGGAGGTTTCTTCCTGTTAAAAGGGAGTTTTTCCTCTCTACTCTATCTACAAACATGCCTGGTATGAGTGATTGCTATTAGGTCAATGAGTCGATGCAATCAGCTGGTTTTCCTTAGATAGAAAAGTTTGAACCAATCTGACTGTATGATCTGGTTGAATTGGCTCTGTAAAGTGCCTTGAGATGACAGGTGTTGTGAACTGGTGCTATGTGAATAAACAGACTTGAATTGAATTGTGTTAAATGCAGTTGAGTAATCAAATAAAAATGATTTTCACAGGGCTGCCTGCCTTGCACTAATGATAGTGGGTTTGTTGAAGCAGGTGTATGATGGCATCTCCAACTCCACTGAGATAAGCAAACTGCAGTTTTTTTGCTGAAGGGAATCATCAGAAGTCTCTCTAGGACCTTCAGGACAACAGGTGTATGGTCATTGAGGAAAGTTGGGTGAGTGTTCTTTGGTACTGAAACAAGACAGGAGGTCTTGTGCATCACTGGAACTGTCTCTCTGGTCAGGCTAAGGTAGAAGAGGTGTTGTATCCCACAGAGCTGTGCTGCACAGGCCTTCAGCACTCTGGGGCTGACACAATCAGGGCCTGCTGACTTCTTATGATTAAGTCTAGCTGCCTCTTCATTTAACTTCTAGAAACACACAGCTGGAGGGCAGAGTGAGAAACTGATGCCTTATTTTGGAACCCCTAATTTCCCATTGTGTGGCTTTTAGCAGCATCTTCAACTTTTCCTGAACTGTTTAACACTCTAAGGTTTTCAGCATGAAAGAGTCTAAACAAAATCACTTAATGGGAGAATTTTTTTTTTCTAAATGACCTTAATGTTGACCTATATATGATTCATTAGTTTTCTCATTGTTTGCTATCTGTATATCTTAAGATGTTTCCAATGAGATGCTGCAGATATTCTATATGTCTGTTCTGGAGATTGTGAACTCGTCTGCAATCACCTACTGGAGAAGCAGCACCATAGCAATTGCTTAAATAAGCTTAAATGCTTAAAGAAGCTCAACAAGCTGATAAAGAAGGCCGACTCTGTTTGAGGAATTCCTCTGAAATCTCTCTAGATGATTTCACAAAGAAGATGCACACATTTGCTTGTAAGAATTACTTTTATTGTGAAAAATTGTGTTGGACAGTATTACAAACTCCAATCAAAATAAGTATTTTTATTCAAATGATATAGCAGAACTACTTTATCTGTGAAATAAATACATCTCTGTAGTGTTTGTTTGCAGGCTGGTGCCAGGACTCCTCAGAATTTGCAGCAGGTTCCACAACCGATCATGTTTGGACAGCAGCCACAGCAGAAACGGCAGCGACGACGGCGGCGGCGCATCTGGACCGAGTCATACTGCGCCTGTGTGTGAAAAGAGTAATAGCTTTTTGTTAATAATCCTATTTTGACTCTGAAGTTATTTTCAAAGCAGTGGACTAAAAATCTTAACGTGCATTCCAGGATTCTTCTGGCATGTCGTGGTCTGCAGTGAGTGTTCCATCATCAGTCAGCACCTCCGTGAGTTCAGGAGCCTGAAAAGTTTTGAAAGTAATTTTTTCATTTTGTAAAGATATAGATAATAAATAGCAGCTTAAAGGGGACCTCTTACCTCAGTCGCAGTGACAGCTGAATTCTGCTGGATACAGATAAAAGTGAACACGAGGGCCACAGCGATGGCAACGGTGAACGTCTTCATGTTAGGAGAGCTGGACAGGTTGAAACAATTCAATCACAGATTTGCTCTGATCTGGTCAGTTTGATGACTGAATGTCTGAGATGTTCTGTATTTATACCCACTTAAGCAGCTTTTGCATAATTACTGACACTATGATATGAAGCAACTTTGTGTTTTCCCACTATGTGATGACAGGAATAGTGAATGATTTTTGGATGTTAGCTGTTCTTTGACATTTCATTTCTTTAACATATGTAACATTAAAATATAATTTCCAGGAAGTGTTATTTTTGTCAAGGGGGCAGAAAAATTTATGTATTCAATGTTATCCAGAAGTTTTTGCCCCAAACATTTCCTTGTTGTGTTGGATGATCAGTGTGTGAATGAGAAATTCCAAAAAGGAGAGAAGAGCAAACAGTTTGTTTTCTTTAACATACAGCTTGCATTACGTAGATGTTTTAGTTTTACTGTTTAGGACTAGAGTGAGCATCTTATTCAGAAAACTGTTAAACAACAGCATGTCTTCAATCAAACACCTCAATTTCCAGTGAAAGACAGACCACTACTGTCAGCAGCTATCTATGTCTACAAGAACTGGTTGAATTTCCCTATATATATATATATATATATATATATATATATATATATATATAGCATATATTAATTATATACAAACAGCAACCATTCTTTACTTGCTTTGTGAGTCAACATTCATGGTTGCTAGGCGACAGAGGTTAAGCTGAGCGAAGGGCAGCTGGGGAAAGCCGACCTGTTCGATTTTATACACATAACCATGCAACCACACTCACATCTAAGGACAATTTAGATAAGCCAATTAACCTAACATTCATATTTTTGGACTGTGGGAGGAAGCCGGAGTACTTGAAGATTAATAAATAATAATCCTTCTTAATGTTTGCTTGTGGTGTCCATTAGGGCTCAGTGTTCAGCCCTGTGTTGCTCATTTTTATATATAAATGATATCTAAAGTGAATAAATGTTCCCATCAAATCTGAAATACATTACTAAAAACCTAATGTGAATATAATGTTTTATGATTTTTAACAAATCAAAACTAGTTATTTGGAAAACCTCCAATTTCAAGTTAAATGACAAACATTTTTTTTGTTTAACTTACTTTAACTTAGCTTACATGAACTATGTAAAATCTAAAGAGTATTGTGGTTGTTGGGAAGTTAACGCACCTCCTAAATTCCTAAAATCACTGTCCAGGATTTATATTTATATTTTTTATTTTATATTTATTTAATAAACACCAAAAATATTGGTCATATTTGGTAAAGCCTGGCTTTTTAAAGCTTATTTTTAACAAATTTTGCAGGGCCTCCGTGTGTTAACATCCTCTGAGCATTGTAGAACAAGTTCATACAGACCACATAAACGCCTGTGCAGTCATGCACTCTTTGGAGGCAACTATTCTGAAACTATCAATCATTCTCAGTTACTGAGTCAAGCAACGTAAAACTAAAACATTTCATCTAAGCTGTGCTTTTGAAAAAACAAACTGTTTGGAATTTCTCATTCACAGACTTTGATCATCCAACACAACAAGGACACAGGAAATGTTTGGGACAAAACCTCTGGATAACATTGAATAAATAAATTTTACTGTCCCATTGACAAATATAAAAATTCCTGGAAATGTTACTTTCACTTTACATATGTTAAAGAAATGAAATGTCAAAGAACAAATAACATTAAATCATTATCCTACCTCCATTCCTGTCATCACATAGTGGGAAAACACAAAGTTGCTTCATATCATAGTGTCAGTAATTATGCAAAAGCTGCTTAAGTGGGTATAAATACAGAACATCTCAGACATTCAGTCATCAAACTGACCAGATCAAAGCAAATCTGTGATTGAATTGTTTCAACCTGTCCAGCTCTCCTAACATGAAGACGTTCACCGTTGCCATCGCTGTGGCCCTCGTGTTCACTTTTATCTGCATCCAGGAGAATTCAGCTGTCACTGCGACCGAGGTAAGAGGTCCCCTTTAAGCTGCTATTTATTATCTATATCTTTACAAAATGAAAAAAATTACTTTCAAAACTTTTAACAGGCTCCTGAACTCACGGAGGTGCTGACTGATGATGGAACACTCACTGCAGACCACGACATGCCAGAAGAATCCTGGAATGTACGTTAAGATTTTTAGTCCACTGCTTTGAAAATAACTTCAGAGTTAAAATAGGATTATTAACAAACAGTTATCACTCCTGTCCCACACAGGCGCAGTATGACTCGGTCCAGATGCGCCGCCGTCGTCGTCGCTGCCGTTTCTGCTGTGGCTGCTGTCCAAACATGATCGGCTGTGGAACCTGCTGCAAATTCTGAGGAGTCCTGCCACCAGCCTGCAAACACTTGAACCATTACAGAGATGTATTTATTTCACAGATAAAGTAGTTCTGCTGTTTAAACTGTTATATCATTTGAATACAAATAATTATTCTGATTTGACTTGTGAACAATTTTTCACAATAAAAGTAATTCTTACCAGCAAATGTGTGCAGTTTTTCTATATAAATCACCCAGGCCTCGTTGTTTATCACTAAAAGACAATTAAAATAAGTTGCTCCAAATTCTATCTTGTGAAATGTGCTATATAAATAAAATTTACCTTTACCAACAAATGTATATCATATCAGTCTTAGCTGCTACTATAGCTGTGGTTAAACTTCATACTTGGTGTAGCTGAAAAGCTGAATATTGTATGTGCAGTTATAATAGATAAAGTTTATAACATAATGAACTCTTTGAATAGTTTTGTTTGAAATGAATACAATAGTCCACTTATATATCAGATATGTTGCAGAAACTGTTTGTTTATTGAAATTTTTTATCCGTCTCTGTCCAAATGGGTTGGGCTGATATTTAAGCACAGATTCCAATATTCTATGCAGTGCCTTTTACCAAAGTGCCGCTCTTCTTTCCTGATTTTTATTTGGTCACATCAAGGGGTTTTTGAGTGTGGACGCTAAGTTTATGCTGCTACATACAGGTCCTTGTCAGTTCATTCTTTTCCATAATGTAATGATAAAACTTGACCATTCATATATTTTAGATTCATTGCACTCTTACTGAAATATTTCAGATCTTTTATTGTCTTAATACGGATGATTTTGGCATACAGCGCATGAAAACCCCAAATTCCTATCTCACAGAATTAGCATATTTCATCTGACCAATAAAAGAAAAGTGTCTTAATACAAAAAAGGTAAACCTTCAAATAATTATGTACAGTTATGCACTTAATACTTGGTCGGGAATCCTTTTGCTGAAATGATTTCTTCAATCACTGCATGAAAAGTGAGATTTTCGTCCCCGTAAACCCCCGTAAACTCCCGCAGATCTGCCTGATTTTCGTCAGTTCCCGACAATTTGCAACCCGCGCTTGTCCGCGTTTGTCGTGCCACAAATTGTCGGAAACGGACCATGACGTATGTGGAGAGCGATCAGCTGTACTAATGGACCTAATTAGCATATGAATGCAGCAAACCCACGCGGCTGGCCAGGTCTGGCTTCAATAACCTACTCAGTATTGGCTGAAACCACTATTCTCAAACAAGTGAAATCGCTCGTGATTGGCAGCAAAACCACACGTGGCCATGCCACGTGTGGCTTTAATTTTCTTACTGAGTATTGGACGGAACCACTTCTTTTTAAACAGGTAAAGTCGCTCGTGATTGGTTGGCATATATATATATTTACATATAAATTTACATATATATATATTTATGAATATATATTTATTCATTCATATATTTATTCATTCATATGCTGTGTATTTATGTTATCCCACACTACTACACAATTATTAGGCTACCATCAAGGACATGAATGAATTTATACAGGAAATGAACATTTGCCAGGAAGCTGTTTATGCAAAGAAAGAGCTTTATTAAAACACACACAACTATATACAACGCGTATCCAAACACATGCGTATCTAAAAATTACAAGTCCGTGAACGGTCCGTTTGCTTCCTCGGGGTTGGAGGTAACTGGCAGCATTCCTTCCGAGGCAGGTCCGATGTGCAGACGCCTACTGTGCGTGGCTCTCTACTTCGGCATCGCCTCTAACCGGGACTGCAGCTTAACACAGAGTTCAGTGAGATCCGGCCTACGAAATGGCGGCGACCGTACAATCCACCCAGAGAACACCGCCAACGACGCCATCTTCTTCGTCGGACATGAGGCAGACGGTGGCGGACTTCAAGAGTTCCACTTCCTCATCTGCTAGCACACTCTGCCTCGCTTTCAGCAGCTGAAAAAAAAACAATGAATCAGCGCACTGCGTATGGACACAACACATCTATCAATGCACCTGAAAAATAGTCACCAAATAAAGTCTTACCCTCTTTCTTCTGGCCCGACTCCGAGCAGATTGCCTCCGCACGCAGCGTGTTGGCTGGCTGCGTATATCTGAAGCTCCTGCGTATTTCCTGTAGCCTATTTCCTGCATGTTTCCTGGAGGTTTCTACTCCAGACTCAGTCCACTGCTTTCGCAGGTCCCCCAAGGTCTGGAATCGGCCCTTCTCCACAATCTTCCTCAGGGTCTGGTCACCTCTTCTCGTTGTGCAGCATTTTCTACCACACTTTTTCCTTCCCACAGACTTCCCACTGAGGTGCATTGATACAGCACTCTGGGAACAGCCTATTCGTGCAGAAATATCTTTCTGTGTCATACCCTCTTACTTGAGGGTGTCAATGATGGCCTTCTGGACAGCAGTCAGGTCGGCAGTCTTACCCATGATTGGGGTTTTGAGTGATGAACCAGGCTGGTAGTTTTAAAGACCTCTGGAATCTTTTGCAGGTGTTAAAGTTGATTTGTTAATTTGTTGAGTTAATTTGTTGATTCAGATGATTAGGTGCATAGCTCGTTTAGACACCTTTTTAATGATATGCTATTTTTTTGAGATCGGAATTTTGGGTTTTCATGAACTGTATGCCAAAATCATGCGGATTAAGACAATAAAAGACCTGAAATATTTCAGTTAGAGTGCAATTAATCTAAAATATATGAATGTTTAAGTTTTATCATTATATGATTGAAATAATAATAACTTTATAACAATATGCTAATATAATAAAATAGTCACCAAATAAAGTCTTACCCTCTTTCTTCTGGCCCGACTCCGAGCAGATTGCCTCCGCACGCAGCGTGTTGGCTGGCTGCGTATATCTGAAGCTCCTGCGTACCGTCTGAAAATACGTCTTACAGGCAGCTGGAAAACAATTAAATGAGAGTGGTATAAATAAAAAATCAAACGCAAGTCACAGTAACAAGGAAGGAGAAAACATTAAAACAAGTCACTTACACACAATGTCGTCTTTATCAACATCGTGCAAATCTGGACTTGCTGATATGGCTCCGAGCAAATAGGAGGTCTGTGAAAACAAAACGTAAAGCTATGATCGGTATCCATCCGTATCCATTTCCTTTTACCGCAGAATGAAAGCATATTCTTTAAATCTTACCCTTGCTCCGGTTCATAGCGCCTGCAATTAGTCTCCAAGTTGTGAAGACGGCGTACTGCTTCCTGTGAATCACAAAAAATACACTTTAATAAAGCTTGTTCTTGCAAGGCTACTATTAGCCGTAGCTTTAGGCTAGGCTGCTATTAGCCATAGCTTAGGCTAGGCTGCTTTTAGCCGTAGCTTAGGCTAGGCTGCTTTTAGCTTAGCAGGCAGTAATCGAACATATATTTACCGCTAGCATCTCTTCTTTGAGTTCGTCTTGTTTGATGCAGAGTCGCCATCGCGTCCAAGAGGAGTTTTACCCCGAAATCCCACATACTCTATGGCAAGCAAAGCATACATCCTCCACTGTGGCTGCAGACCCCTCCGCTCTGAGTTTCTTGGAGATCGTAAAGAGCATGCGCAAGTTGAACCAGGGTTTCCGCGGATCAATAAATATAATTAAAAAATCATTCTTTTTTTTTTTAAATCAAGGCCTTAATTGGCACTAAAATTATTTAAATATGTTTATCGAAGTATTTATAATTCTTTAATAAAAAATGCTTATAAAAACAATTTCGTCAGATATATTATATCGCTCCAGGCGGAGAAAAAGCTAGAGGATATATGTATACGTATATATGTGTGTGTGTGTGTTTACATACATACAGGAGTCATGGAACTCTGCTTACAGCTCCTTCATATTCCATGTACACTAATAACTTGTGTACATGGTTCTTGTTGATGACATTAAAATCATTTCAAATAGCATTAAAATAGCATTAAATTAGAGTCACTCATTCCTGTATGAACCCTGTGAGCGCTTAATTTAATATGACATATTAAAAAAATCCCACCATCATCCAGCATATGTTCAGTTTCTGCCCAAATATATATATATTTTTTTGTAGATTTTTGTAACGGGGATAAGGATAATTCAAAACTGCTTTTTTTTAATGAACTTGTTCATTACTCTCAAACTCAGCCTCTCTTTTCATTCCTGTAATAAGAAGTTTCTTTTGAATGGATTTGATTAAAGTTTAAGTCCCTCGGTATAAAATAAATATTTTGATGGAGATGAGAAATCTGCTTCCTCGTTGGTGAATAACCAATAGTTTGGATCCAATCATTTAAATAAACTGTGTTAGTTTTTTTTTTTTTTATATATAAGAATTGTGCTATAATTTCTAGTCACCGATCTGTTGCTGCTATATTTTAATTTGACGAACCGGAATTTGTCGATGTTCTTTTTCCTGTTTGGTGCGATTGCAATTGCGGATCTTGACCTGGCCGGACCTTATGACCACAGTGTACCAATCTTCTGATGGCTACTTCCAACAGGATAATGCGCCATGTTATAAAGTGAATCATCTTAGACTCATTTCTTGAAACTTTTCCACTTAAGTAATTGTGAATTGAGCATATTGACAGACAACATTTTATTTTTTTATCTTAAATGCAATTTTTTTTTTTTTATAATTACTGCTCTAAATGTATTGCTCTGTCAGCTAAAGATCTGTTTTGGTCTCTATACTTTAATTAAATAAATCAATTCAAGCTAAAATGTAAGAGGCTATACTGAGCCTGATCTCTTTGTATCAGAGATTTTCTTACCTTTTAGAAAAATGTCACTTGGAGTAAACCCCCCCCTGCAACCCTGATTTGCATTTGTATAGCTCACAGCATGTTCATTTACATGTTAAAGCCTCCCCTAGAATTCCATGGGGGGGAGGCATGGGGGGAACACTGCCTAAGAAAGTCCACATCAATTTCTGACAATTTACGGGAGTTTTCGGCGAAGCCTGCAAATTGTCGTAAACTGCCGCTAACCTGAAGTTCCACGACAACCTACAGTGCCGCATATTGACGAAAATCCCACTTTTCATGCAGTGAATGCGGCGAGGCATGGAGGCAATCAGGCTGTGGCACTGCTGAGGTGTTATAGAGGCCCAGGATGCTTTGATAGCTGCCTTTAGCTCATCCAGAGTGTTGGGTCTTGCTTCTCTCAACTTTCTCCTCACAGTATCCCACAGACTCTCTATGGGGTTCGGGTCAGGAGAGTTGGCACGCCA